CTCTTCCGTCGCCGAACACACCGTCGGCCAGTCCCGAGTCCAAGGTCATCACTCCAACCGGTCATTGGACAAATCAGGGTATCCAGAACACCAGTCAACAGATAACGTCGTTACATATTCAGAATCATCTGCAAGCGAGGAATTACTACGTACCGGCAACCTCGAGTACAGGTCCCAGCGTCTAATGGAGGGGACTCATCGCGTCGGAGTGTTCATCCCGCGATTTTCCCTCGGTTCTATTCGCGAACCGTCGCCTAGAGGACTATCCAAGCCTGTTCGACCGATCGTGAAGTTGGGAGCTGCTGGAAATTCGCGTAAGCGACGTCTAGAAGTGATCAAGGTGACGGGTTTTGAGGTCGGGAATTCTTTTCGGCGAACGATTTTCCGTTGGTTACCTCGATGACGAGAGTCTCTCTGACGTTGGAGAACGTTTGGTTGTAGCTAGCTGGTGCTAACTAGTCGTGCCAAATTGCGAGACTGTTTCAGTTCCTCCGTCTAGGCCAATTCGATCCTCCGTATTAGGCGATTAGATGGTTAATGTATAATTGTCTTTGTATATATCGTTTTCGTTGCTGGATCGAACTTATTGCGTGTCCACGCGGTGCAATACGCTGAATGATTTTCTTATCCGTTGTTTAAACGTATCTTGGACACGAACAACGAATTCCCCGTTCCTCCGACCGCCCGAGTAACTTATCCAAGCCGGTGCCCCGTCGCTTTCTGAAAGGAACCAATGTGTCCTTCAGTTCGAGTCCGGTACTTGAATCCATGTATCGCGCAAAACACGTGTTAGGGAACGAGTCTATGTGTACTATATAAATATAAATGTATAAGGAACGTACCATACGTGTAGTCGGAGATTTTGGGGGTAGAATTCCACTCTCAGCGTGATCGCGGACGTGATCGATGATGGGCGATCGGAAGGTGCTCCAGATTCGGTAACCTTCGCGATCGTTAACCTTTTACGCTGCAAAGAATCAACTTTCAAACGAATTATAAGGTAATTTAAAGAAACGTTAATAGTAAATTAATTTCGTAAAAGGTTGACGTACGGTTTAATCATTGGTATATATACACTATCGCTGATAAATATTCGAACGACTTGGAAAATTGACGAATATTACTTTAATCCTTTGACTATTGTGGGTCAAATACGCCTAAAGGAGCTTAGAAATCTTGCCCTTGTGATACTCTGGACGCCTAAAGGTGCTTGAAAGTAACTTTTCTTCTTAAATTTTAAGTATGTACAATAACAATTTAATACAGAATACAAAGAAATAAATAATGTTGTTTTAATATAGCGGAATATAGTGTTTCGATATTATTATTTGAATATACAATAATTTCTCAGAAATGTACACCTAACGAAGAATTATGGTACGGCTAGCGCGTTTCAAAGTCTGCCGTAGTCAAAGGGTTAATAAGTCACACTTCGAATAAGGATAATTACCATTTACATACGATGATGGCGGTGTTATTTATTTTAATAAAGAATGCTCTGCATTTACGATATAGAGATACCTATTTACTTTCATTTCGAAGGGTGGAAGATAAAGGAAGATAAATTTACTTTTATCGTAGTTAATATTGCTGTAAAAGATACCTAATATTTATTAGTGCGAAAATTAAGCACCCTTCACAATGGAATCTTCGTCGTTCGAAAATTTATAAGCCTCGTTGTATTTATACGCGATATCGACGAGGATTCGATATTATTCGTGCCAATCGTGGGATTTTAGCCGTGAGGTAAAAAGATTCGTGTACATAGAAGGGAGGTGGTTAATGTCGCTCGATGCGTAGTTTCATACGTTTTTCCGCAAGTATGGAATTCCAATGTGGGGCATTACGTCAGACTGAAAGCAGACCCGCCTGTTCAAAGTGTAATATAAATCGTTCGAAGGTTTATCGATAGTCTCGTCTTTATTAATAATCCATATCGTGTTGGACGGTATGAACAGTGTACGAAGATATATTCTGTGCAAGCTCTCGCCCCCTCTGTATGTATGTATGTATGTATATGTACCTATATATACGTGCCTACGTATAATTGAGATGTATCGCGATTAACACGGACGCATAAACACAGTGACAGATATAAATGGACACAGGAACATCGTGGCTGTATACAGACAGGTAGATCGTGGTACGTTCGTAACTGGGAAAAGAAGAAAAGGAACGTAGGTAAATGAAAACGGAATGCACGGTTTTTTAAAGATTACCTCAAGTAACGCAGATACGTCGTCGATCTGTCTCTCTTGGTCCTCAGCGCGGAACTGCCGCATCTCGATGCAATTGAAGCTGAATAAAGTTTCTGTTCCCATGAATTGAAATTACTTTCATTCATTACCTGTCCCGTTTCGAGAGTAAATGGAAGATGGCCGGGTAAGTGGATATAATTGATATATGTGTATTTCTAGAAAGAAATACAGCTCAAAGAGAGAAGCGAAGATAGATTTTTGATTAAAGGTTTATACAATTAATATCGCTATAAGTACAGATGTTTGAAATGATTTTTCAGAGTACAGGAAAATTTTTATTCGAATGCAGTTAACTTTGATGTGGTTTTCAATATTGAAACAGTTAGGGTATTTAAAGGAAAACGACTCGGGCATAAATAAGATAATAATATATTAATAATAATAAAAATAATAAGATAGTAAGATAAATAGGATAATTTGACGAATTTTCTCTCGATATCGTTAAATTTAAACTTCATTTTATACTCGAGATAGTTATTAGTTATCGATTTATTCGTTATTATTATAGTTATTATTATAGTATATTATTATAGTTATTAGTAATCGATTGTCGATTTATTTAGGAAAATTTGAACAAATATAATATAATCGTGTAGGTAGAATGCTACAGATCAAAAATGTCACTTCCGGCACGCATAATATACTGAACTATGACTTCGGTGAACTTCAACTGACAAGCATAATCTTCTAATTATGAACTTCAAACAGATGTACGAATACGATTATCTTTTCATTAATGATAAATTAACTCTTTAACAAATCTATAATCCACAAACAATTACCATAATACAATGAATTAGCTGGGAACATTGTTGACTCGTTATCAAACAAGTGACTAATGTATTCAAACAAATTTTCAACGATCAAACCTTTTCAACGCTTTTCAACAACATCGTGATGAAAAGAAAAACACTCGTCAGATAAAATATATATAAAAATAACAATAATGTAAACATTAGATGCAATATTAATCGATATTAATATACCTATTCGCTACTCGATAAAGGCGATATATCCTGTACCTAAATATGCAAAAATCAAAAGAAAAATTCGAAATATTATTCTATTGACAGAATTATCAAGTTAGTCGAAATGATTGCTTCGAAATATAATTCTTGCAGATACTGGGAGCATATACAGCTTCCAACATGACAAAATTAATATGATTACTAGTCGTCGATGTTTCCAAATAAAATTAAGATTAATTTTGTCATATTGGGAGCTTCGAAATCTAATTCTAATTCGACGACTATTAATTATTATAATTCACGTATACTATATATAACACACATTTTACGTCACAAGCCAAGTCCTAAGAACCAAATTTCTATTTAACCTAACATATTTCAAAATAAATAATAATACATAAATATTCTATTTATCTACGATGAATTCTCGCGATTCGCACGATTAAAATCATCGGGAGACAACTGAATCAGGAAACGCCTAGTGATTTATTTCCTTTCGTGTTATTCACCCAAGTATACGCATCGATTCTCGCACACAAGGTTAATATTGAAAAATGCGTCGAACGAGTTTCGATTCAAGTGAACGTCAAAACGCGAGAACGAAACGACGTGCATAAATAATCGCGTTAAATAGGCTCGAAGTGTGTTGAATCGATCCTCAATGATGTTTCGCGACTGGAACGAATCATCAATGATTTTAGCCGTCGATGGAAACGCTTCGGAAAACAAACCGCGTGTAATGCCACTCTTAACACGAATACCATCGTTATTTTTTCGTGCGGAAAAATGCAATAAGTTGACACAAACATTCCGTGTACATTTGTGAACCGATGGAAAACGCCAAGTGGCCGGGCATTTTATTTGTTGTAACAACAAGCGCTCCATTGTGCCCATTTAGCAAACGCGCGCGAGGATTCGTCATGGATTGTGTACTGCAAAGGCATTTGCAACGCTGAAAGTTTTGCAATTCTTATTGGAAAAATATAAATGTGTTGGAAATGGTGGAAAACAAGGTTGACAACAGGACATATCGAGTAGTGAGGGAATTCGATGCTTCGGAAATGATAAAATGGAACTGAGAATTAGTCTTTCGGTATTAGTCATTGGCGAATAATATCTTTTAATTTATTTATTGCAGCGAAGCTAAATGTGATGCTCGTATAATAATCGAGAATATTAACTAACCTGACTTGATAATATTAAATCGGGTTTTTGCATGGTAACTCAGGGGTTAATATTGTAATTGTGATATTAAATTGGCTTTTCATACTGCAGACTGAAAAATTAATGGGGCAGGATTTTACTGAATGTGAGATTGAATAATTAATAGATTAGAAGAGAAAATTATTTTCGGATAAATAAATTTTCTTACCGTAAGTGTTGATAGTTATAATAATTACAGGTAAACAATTTTCATCGAGTTCTAGGTGTAAGAGGTTTCTAAAATAATTTCGAAATAAGTGTACCTGAAATAATGATATTTAAAATAAACGATTTTCCAATATATGCGAATGTCGATGACAAATTTCAATCGGTATCAAAAATAGTTACTAATTTACCCTTGACCTATCTCTTGTATATTTTCCATTTCTATCGTACATAATTCAACAAAACTGTGACACGAATAGAGCATGCTTTACATTCAATTCTTGTTTTAGCATCAGGTTTTCCGTCGTATCGCCGCTTGAATTTGTTACTCAGATATCGGAACGACCTAAACGCTATAAATATTGTTGAGCCGTAACAAAAATTAACATTTACTCCGAAAAAGCAAGAAATATACCAATGTTTCGCATATTTTATTCTACTACTTGTGCAAAGTCATCGCTAATCAATCGTTCATTTGCTTATTGTACTTTTAATCAGCAAACTAAATCGCGACGTGTCTTTCATAGATAATCGTATCGGTGCTCGAGCTCGATAAGGGAACGAGAAATCGTATGGAAAAATGCTTTAGCA